TATTGTCATAATAAGTAGTTAAACATTTTGTTAAAACTCATAGATTTGCTGTAAAAATTACATAACGGTAACAAGGTTGCCGCATTAGTGACAGCAGCAGGTACCCGAAGGGGGGGACCCTTCGGGGGTACACAAAAAATAAAAAAAAAACTGGCCAAGCTTAAACATACAATTTCATTAATGATATAAAGTTTGTCAGATTGTAAGTGGTTACGAAACAGAATTCAAGGTACGTTTTCAGAAATATGAACTTGTGCAGATTATTATGTGAAAATCAAACATTTTTCTGTTGTGTTTTAACCTAACTTGATCTGAATAAATGAGAAAAATCCAATAACAATTTGTTGCCGATGCTTTGATCAAATGTATGAAACTACGACTGGTTTTTAGCACGATAAAAGCACTTGTAAAATGGTATACCACTTTAACACTCAGGGAGTGAAGTGACATGTTTCGTAGCGTTCAAAGCGTGTAACCATTATTCCAGGTTCTACGAGTAGTATACATATATGGTCTATTTTTTTTAATAATAATAGCCATACAAATTTAATGTGGTATGAAAACAAAATTACAACTAGATTAACACTAAACGCAGATCTTTTAGTGTTACAGGTATAAAATAAAAGTACATTTGAAACACTAAAGGCAGAGGCAATTTCATATGCAGTGTACATAAACGCTAGGCTCCACAATCAATTGTACACCAGTAAAGCTTCACATTGCAGTTATAACGCTTGCCATATTTATAGTCTGTGGAACCGTATTGTGAGACAATTTAACCAAAGTATGCCTAATCTATATCTATACCTACTGAAGGGGAAGGATTTGTATTTTTGTATTTTGGTATGCATTGAAATAACTCAAAAACTACTGGGCCGATTTTAAAAATTCTTTCACCGTTAGAAAGGTAATTTATCTGTGAGTAACATAGGCTATATTTTTTTTTCACGTGAATGTAGTCGCGAGCAACAGCTAGTGAGTGAATAATTTTAATGAAAATTAATAGGGTCCCATGACCTTTTCAAATTTTGGCGATATTTCCAAACCAATACGACTTAGGGTCCTTCAAGAAGCGAGCCAACCTTTTCTTTAAAGGCCGGCAACGCATCTGTAGTTCCTCTGGTGTTGCGGATGTCCATGGGCTTCGTTGATTTCGGTGTTCCCGCCACTCGTTTGTCCCCTTTATTATTAAAACAGATTTTTAAAACAGCTTTCATTTGTTTAAGTGAAATAGTCTGAAGAATGGCTTCTTTATTATTGTGTCTATTTGCGCGTGTTGCTTAAATATGTGTTCTTTATGTTATTGTTTAAAAATTGCTAACAGCATGATAGAAAATATGCAAAAAACTTGTCGTGTTAGGTGACGAAATACATTAGTAACTGTATGAATTATATTTTGACTTTGATGGATGATATCCTCATACATAAAGATTAATTTCACTTTTTTCTCTGTTGGCATCGCGTCTTCTTGGAAATCTGCTTTTATGTTGAGATGATTAAAAAAAATATTACGCCTCAAGCTTCAATTTACAAGAAAAATATTCATTAATGTTTTTTGAACGTCATTATCAACTTGCCCTTGTCCCTACGAAAGGTCGACACAGTAACTGCACTTCCATATATGTCTATCAGCCGTCATATTTGAAATTCCCGTGAGCATATCCTCTTTCAAGCCATTCGTACTTTCTTCGGTCTTCCTCCACATTCAATATTCAAACCATCGTCTCTTCGCATAAATATAATGTTAGTTTTAAGTTTAAAATTAAATTTTCGAACATGTTAATGTAGCCTAGCGAAGCCATCACTTGTCCCATAAGCGTAATATATTGGTTATTGTTACACAAAATAATAAAGCACAACCTTAGGTGAAATATGAAGGTGAGGAAATTCTTTACGGAAGGATGTACATTGTTGTTAAGTGCCACGTCACTTGCTGAATCAGCGGTTTACGTTTTATATTATATCATGCGTTATAACGCTTTTATAAAAGTCATACAATGTCTGAATTGAATGAATCTATTTTTAGCACAAAATCCTTTTAGAGTTAAAAAATTTAAAGGCAATTAAATAATGTTGAATTACTTAGATTAAACCTTCTCAAGGTACTTCAAGAGTGTATTTCTATAAAAACTAACGTAAATGAACTGTATATTGACAACACAGCGACCCCATATTAGATAAGCCACTTGCTTCGACCAATAGTATGCGTTTTAAAACTTAGCCAGGGAATTTGAAAAAAGACACTTTTTAATGATTAAATTTTGCCACTAAATCACATTATATAAAAAAAATCTTTGCAGACAAGACATTACATTAAACGCAAGCTACGTCTTAATTTATAAATTACGTTCTAATTTTGTTATTATTTACCAATAAATAACTGTAAAAAAAGTAACATTACAATATCTACATATAAACTATACTCTACCATTGTTATATACGTTTGTGTGCAATTAAGTTAATTTTCGGTATAAATGCCCTATTACGTAATGCAAACGTAAGCACAATTAAAGCATTAGTATGCAGGTGTCCATTAATTATGGTCAGAATGAGAAGTCTGCAGTAGGCACACCGAGCGGTCTCGTGTTTAAAACTGGCTTTTACAAGGCGACTAACCAGCTCTTTATGTAATTGTTCTATTTCGTAATGTTAACTTGAATTGCATTTTTTAATGTTAACTATTTATTTTAAATATTTTTAACTTGTAGGAAAATTTTAATGTTATCTGCGTGGTCCACTAATAAGTAAGGTTATAAGATTATTTTTAAATAAAACAATGTTTAATTAGCAATTGGATATTAAATTTGGCTTATGTATTTTCACGTAAGCATAAATCGTAAAACAAATATCGTAGTATTGTTTGTAACAAGTCGTAAATGATGCTTAACAAAAAAATTTTTCTATTACAAAATTTCTTAACCAACAAAAGAATCTAATCGTGAACTATATTTGATAAAGATTGAATTAACCTTCCTCGAGCTTTCCGAACCCATTCCATTGTGGATACAATGTACAAAAAATGTGCCACAATCTCGGCAAAAACGACTTTTGATAACAAATTGCTATCTCTGTAAAGCAACACAAAGTAACGTAAAAGAAATTTTCTACATAGTTGCCCTCTTGTGGCTCGTAGCTACACAATAAGTGAACAAAAACTGTGATTTATACGTAAAAAGAGTAGCTTGCGCTTAATACATTGCCACTGTGCTTTTACGTTGTTTTTTACAAAGCATTTCGTGTATCTTGTAAATAGGTTTGTATGTTTACTGTAAATATTGATTAAAAACTACCAAACTTTACTAATTTTAGTTAATAGACTTGTAATACTATTTATCAAAATTTAGCACCAATTGTCATTCAAGATTATTAATAAAAACCTTAGAAGCTGAATTCTGGTTAAACCGTTCTCTTCACTAGTTCTTTAATTGCATCATAAAATCGCTATTTATAACCGTTTTAGATGTAAGGTGTTCGCCTTTTAGGTTAAAAATTTCATTATATACGGATATATTTATGCTTTCGTATACCAGTCTTGTTAAAGCACAACTGTAGAAGATTAGGGACATAAATACCGCTGGGAAAGTGCAGGAGCCACCATTTTACAAAGATATTGCAGCTTGCAATCGTATAATCCGAATTTTATACGTATACCTCCAGCATTATGTAATTATCTGAGAAGGAATATTCTTCTGCTGGTATTTTTAAGTGATGAAAACTAGATGGCGCTATAAGCAATTTAAAGTGTAATACTTTATACTATTTAAATCATCGGGTTTTGTTCAGATATTTTATCTGGTAAAGGAAATGGTATATAATTTTGGATTCAGTGTAAGCCCTTACGACCGTTCCGATGAATTTGTTCGAGATAAACCCATGCACTTAAATCCAAATTGCCAATTCCGAGATACGCGCACCGAATCGAATCTACATTTCCATCATACGAGAGGAGAGAAAGGAATTACTTTTTATATTACGCCTTATATAGCTAGAAAATTAAGCGAATATGGCCTAACGGTTTATAAAGCCATTCTTATTTTCAAAACAAAATATCTACATAGTATTAATAAGATGAAAATTTAAAACTTAACAAGATCTTTAAACATTTTAAACACGATGATCAAGTTCTTTTAAGCATCTTAATATTAAAATACATCTTTATATGTCTCTAGGGTTTTCAAATATTAGAAGAAACTTTATTAATTCATCCGAAAAAAATTGTAAAAAGTATTATATAGAAACTTTATTACGTCTAATTTTGTACAGAATTACAACGTATTTTCATAAAAAATAACAAGCAATTGAAGGAATTAAGTTTCTCTGCCTCGGAGCAACGTTCCTATTAGAAGATATTTGAGGCAATATGAAAAAAGTTTCTGCCCTACATTATTTTATTATTCTTCTCTTTTATCACATATTTTCTTGGAAATATAAATATCAAACCACAAACACATTATCAAATTATTTTATAATTTCAATAAACCACTGTTTTAATTTTGCTTTGGTGTTAAGTAACAAATTAAAAAAATCGTAAAAACCTAATATCTCAAATCCATTCTTTTAGATGTATCGTCTTCATAGACGTAGAACAGTCATCTGTTGCTATACATTTTTGTAGACGTTTTTCAACTCCGACACACACCTGTACCTAATATCCGGATACAAACGGAATCGTGTTCATTTACCGGCATAATAAAAATTAATATAAATCGCACGATATTACCTTAAAAGGCAGTTAAGCGCATTGTAAAAATCCAGTTTTAAACACTAATGGTTAGGTTTTACGCGCGGTAAACGGTCCTCGCTATTCTAACCATAATAAATAGTAATGTGCATGCAATTGCACTCTTATTGCTCCAACGTTTTAATTCTTATAACCGTAAGCTTATATTGCCGCAACACCTGTCCAAGAAAATGCAGTGACTAATTAGTAATACTCTTTTGTATATGAGTTTTATCAGTGTAAACAACATAAACATGTGTAAAAGTCTACTGTTAACAGTATGCTTATGACACTTGACAGTGCCGGCGTGTGGTTAGGGCAGTTAACCGCCCAGGGCGCAATGAAAAGGGCGGCACTGGACTGTGAATTACACTGGCTTTCGCCCAGGGCGCTAGTAACGCTACTGGGACTTAAAATTATTAAGGGCCTGTCCCACCACTGTCTGATAAAGGCTTAGATAGCTTTAAAATTACGTAACTGTAAGGTAACAAAAACCTATTCCGTCGCATATTTTACACGTTGGATTGTTACCAGACAATTTACAATTTGGTGGGACATTCTCTCAATATTTTTGTCTCCATTTTAGTTTCTTTGATTATCATCTCTTTAAATCGGTTCGTTGAATATTAATTAACGTTTACCATCGAGAGCTACTAGTCGATCTGACAAAGAACAAAGCTAATTGGAAAGAAAAACAAACATGATTGTATCGTAATTAATTCAAATGAATTTCAAAGGGACACAAATCACAATGTACATTTACTACAGAAGTATCATTCGATACGATTGCAAAGAGCGAACTCCAATTGGGTCTTGAATAAAACAAATGACTACTTCCTCAAAACAAAGAAAAATCGTCTAAACTTCCGATTTCATTGGTATTTTCAAACTAGATTACGCTACAATCCATAAGTTCATGAGAGATGATTGTTTCTCTATAAGCAAGACAATTTTTTTTTCTAGAAATTAACGAATCTTATTTCTCCTTCTGTTCGATTAAAGGCAATAAACAAGCAATGTGCTTATTGCTGCCTCTCGTTATAAAGAAGAAAGATTTGTATTTTTGTATGTATTGAAATAACTCAAAAACTACTTAGCCGATTTAAAAAAATCTTTCACCAAAAAGATATGTTATCAATGAGTAAGTACATTTTTAATTTCACGCGGGCGAAGTCGCGAGCAACGGCTAACATCTAAGCCAGTTACTGTTAAAGCATGATGTTACATTATTTTTTTTTTGTTACAGGAGCAATCCCACAAATCGTACCGTCCGCTGACCGTGCTAACGTTCCGTTGGAACTACGCGGTGCACGGCTTACAACCCGCCGGATACCACCTCGTTAATGTACTGCTGCACGCGCTTGTCTCCCTACTATATTACAGGTTAGTGACGTCATAATAAAATAACCCTTAGTGTCCACTGCCATTACAGATATCTCTTGATAAACATAAAGGACAATGTTTTATGCTTGTTGTTTGAAATGATGATTGACTGGACTTCTTTTTTATAATTTACAAACCTTTGAAATATTTTTTATGGCAAGTGATAACTCTTACCGCTTTGATGTGATATCTTAAAAAATAATCAATTTCTGGTTACAGAATAATGTAGATTAAAAGATGGAAATCTTAATTTAAAGAGAAAATCACCTTGTAGGCATTAACCGTGCCGGGCGCGCTTTAACATTCGGGATTTAATAAACGAGATGATGGATCAAAAAGAATTTTCAATTTATTTTTCACTAATCTGACATTTCAAAGTGCCGCTATTCCACAGTCGATGAAAGTATTTATATCAAGAAAGGATTAGAGAATAATTTCCTGTTATTAATTCCAAAAACCTTAAAAATTAGTTAACGAATGAAAGCGAGCAGATATATGAAACTAAACTATTGGACTATTGCACAACTTTTCACTCTCGGTTGGATTCCCATGAGCTTATATGTAGGTGGGCACACTACTCGATTTTTATTTGTGAAACAATCGACAATCGCACAACAGTCTAAAGTAACTATCGCATAGTTTAGTCATATGTGTGCGCCCGCTCTAACGCGGTAAAAACATTAAAAAACAAATTAATTAAACTAATTAAAAGAAAGGAAATGGCATGCAAATAGCTTACCCAATTTTAGAGTCATAACTCTCGTTATATTTGTATTTAGGAACTATTACGACATAGTTCAATCCTGGAGTAGAAAGTGCTGCTAAATAATTCAGTACAATGTGCGACGTAATCACGGCTTTATGGTTAGTTTACTAAAGCCGTCGCGCTGTCTTATTTTCAATGGCCTATATTAAATAATTCAAGTTACTTTTCACCCCTTCTATAACCTTTTACTGAAATGGTTAAATCTATTAAGTAAATCTTTTAGAGGTGAAACGTTTTTTGTATTCTGATCTCGTAATATAGGTACTCTAAAACGGTTTTTTGTGCTCCGTACAAGGATTAACTCGTGACTTCTTCCGCAGTGAATTAAAAGGAAACTTAAGTAAGCTATGTCTTTATTAACATCTGTATATCTCATCTGATTTACATGCCTGCCAAATTTTATTGAGATCTGTTAAGCCGTTCTAGAATACTTCCATCAAACTTTGGCATTAATAATATTAAAAAGATTCGGTTACTGTCAATTATTTGAATATCTAATTAAAAATATTATCAAATGAAAAAGAATTTACAAAATCCGATTTATGGCTACCAAAAATTACTTCAATGTGTCTTCTATCAGTCTTCTCTAGATGTTACATAATTTATTAAAAAGGTATACTTTTAAAAATAGCCCAATTATGTACACCTTAAGTTAACCGAATATAAACATCCCTCGAGGCAAACAGCGGCGGCAGGAAGCAAACTGCTTGAATTAAGCCAAGTCTAATCAAGCCGACGTCCGCCAAATCCCCCGGTTACTGCTAATTACGGACACTCGCCGTCTACTCGCCGACCGACCGTCCGACGCGAACTAACTCACACTTGTACTCAATATCCAATTTGCTTCTTTAATCTCATTCACCATTTTTGAGCTCTTCATCATAATAAGTTGCAAATGTAACTAGCCACTCTGTTATTTGATTTAATTTCTTTCGAAGGACTGTAGTTATTGAAGCTATCTTTCTAAATGTTATGAATTAAAAGAAATTCCGTTTTTTATCTACTATCTTTATTCTTTTGAGTTTAATGTTTTATTAAATTAAATTTCTTAAACTCTTACTTACGAATAACATTTTTTTTGTTTTATTTATTAACAATATAGCATCTTTATCTTTATAGAAAAGTATACGAATACAAAAGTATGCGAATGGGCTAACCTTTTAATACATTCTTAAATTAAAATCTAATCACATTCGTATACAAAGTTCAAATTGTCCTATCCGTATATCTGCCAGAAAAAAGTTAATTCACAATTTATAATGAAGTTCCTGTCAAATTCTCCACCGTCTGGTTCATGCATGCTCCGAGCTTAATTTCAACGTTTTCTAATTTCAAACGCATTGTTTAAAACTTGTCGGTTTTTAATTGAAAATCTATTTTTAAAACATTCAGGCCATTCACCTTTACTTTGTTATTTTTTATATCTATCTTTAACCTTGATTGGAGTATACGGAGTTCATAGTTAGAACTTTTTTATAACAAATTTAACAACAAACATGATTGGCGTCCAATCATCATCTCCCTTATCCTACTCCGTAGGGCCGGTACTTGATTTTCGTCCACCAGATAACTCAATCATCCGTGGTATGAACTGCGTTTAAAACTTAATAGACTAGGTCGCTAAAAACATATCACAAAAACCTCTTTGTCCGATAGTGTACAATAAAGGACGTTTGACAAACTGAATATAATAGCTTCACAACTAACGAAGCAAACTACGTAATAAAAGTAAAATAGACTAACTGAAATATTGTACAACCCTGTGGTCAGTTTGCATGTAAATTAAACTTAATTTAGCGTTACTATGGTAACGGTAACTCGATTTCCGATAGAAACATGTGCTGCGTACAACTGAAACACTACAATTTTAATTAGAAAAATATTTTAAAAAGTATTTTTATACTTATAATATAAAAATGTAATAGTTGCCCTCGACTACGTTTGCGTGGAATTAGTAAAGAACTTTATTAGTGTGTTGTTATTAGCTATGTTCTTTATGCATGTCAAATTTTATCGAGATCCGTTTTGCCGTTCTACATACTAACTAATCTTCATTCATATATAAAAACTTTGTATTTATAATATTAGTAAGATAATATAACTCGTTTACACTGCTTCAAATATTTTTTTCTTGCTAGAGAATTAGTATGGAACCATTTTTGTCTAAGAGGAAGGAGACTGTTACCTTCCTTGCCTCCCCCTAGCGACGCCTAAGAAGGGAACTGATAATGTAAATCCTAGGTCAGTCTTAAGTTTTTGTAGATAGGACAGTACTCAAATTAAGCCTGTTTTAATGAAATCACTGTCCTCTATCTCTGTTTACTGCTAATTAAGGATACACGTTGTCTATGACCTTTACTTAGATTACACTTAATTTTCCATTCCATCTTAATCATATAAAGATTAAGTAAATAGTAGTGAGTTTTTATTTGAATCAGTGGATTTGTTACTTAACTTATTGTTTCCATAGCTCTTTAACTTTAGGATAACAGCATTTATATTTTATTGTTTTTATAAGAAATTGGTTTTCACCTGTGATTCCGTCCGCATGGCCTTAAAAAAACATGTAGCCTACATGTTTAGCCCGCTTTAACATCTTCGCACGAATGGATCGGCTCGCCCGGTGTAATACCACGACCACACGGAAAACAGGCGTGAAGTGGAAGCAAATCCGCGTTTCGTCTGATGAATGTGGTGCCGGAGAACTAATTTTAGTTCCTTTTCCTTTCTATCCTTTTCTTAAGAGTAAAAGATGAAAAGGAAAAGTGGATTTGACGGTGGAGGAGACGCATAGGAAGGGGAAATGTCCTCTTTATGTGCGTCTCCTTCTCCGTCAATTAAGGGTAGGCAACGCATCTATAGTTGCGGATGTTTATAGGTAGCGGTTGCTTTCCATTTCGGTGGATTCAGGTGGCCGCTTGCTCGTTTGCCACCTTATATTATAAAAAAAAATGTTCTTCCAGACTATCATCTACATCTATGCCAAATTTTATTGAGATCAGTTCAGCCGTTGAGGCTACGAAGTCTAGCGAATATCCATTCATCTAAACTTTCGCATTAATAATTTTAGTATAACTCGATGTTGATGTACATAAAATTATCCTATGTCAAGTTTTATAATTGAACTTTCAAAGTAAATATCCCTTGTATCTTTGTTTTAAAATAAAACGCTCCTAGCGAAACATAAACAACATACTAATTACGATATAACGTACAATTGAGTTACGTTTAGGGACAAAAGATTCCCTTCTCGGGGGAGAACCTTTGATATAAATAAAGTTCTTTCATTATACCCTCGTATTGT